TCACTTTAATACTGGTTAAGGGAATCATCCAACAAAAAGATACAATAATTGTAAATACTTATGCCCCAAATATCAGTGCACCTACATACATAAAACAAACCCTTCTTGATATAAAGAACCAACAAGACCACAACACAATAATAAAAGGTGATTTTAATATACCTCTTTCACCAATACATAGATCATGCAGACATAAATAAAGACCCTTCAGAACTAAAAAATATTATTAATCGAGGGGGGATAGTAGAGGATAGGAAAGGCAGCAGAATACAACAGACACGAGTATGGCAATATGTAAATCAATGGAAGTGTAACTGATGTGATTCTGCAATCTATATACAGGGTAAAAATGGGAGTTCAAAACCCACTTGAATCAAAGTGTGAAATATGATATATCAAGAACTATGTAATGTTTTGAACAACCAACAAAATAAATAAATAAATAAATAAAATGAATTTTAAAACCAAAAAAAAATATTATTAATCAAATGAACGTAACAGACATCTACAGACTATTTCATCTGTCAACAACTGAATTCACTTTTTTAGCTGTACAGAGAACCTTTTCTAAAAAACATCTTATTTTAGGACACATAGCAAGTCTTCACACATGGAAAAAAATACATAAATTCTTTGCCTCTCATCACATCATAATAGAATGAAATTACAAATCAATAACAAGATAAAAACAGAAATCATATTAATACCTGTATATCAAATAATGTACTTTTAAATGAGAAATGGATCATAAAAACAATCAGGGGTGAAATCAAAAAAATTCTTAGAAGAATATGAGAACAGAGACACAACATACAATAACTCTGGGGCAGTATGAAGGCAGTTCTAAGAGGAAAGTTTATAGCATTGAGTGTCTATATTAAAAAAATAAAAAAGAAAGATCCAAAATAAATAATCTAATGCTACACCTCAAGGTCTTAGAAAAGGAAGAATAATGGGCTGCAGTTATATCTCAATGGCAGAGTGCTTGCCTCACATGTGTGAGGCACTGGGCTCAATTCTCAGCACCATATAAAAATAGAACAAAATAAAGACATGCTGTCCATCTATAATTACAAAAAAATTTTGTTTAAAGAAAAGGAAGAATAAATGAATTCCAGAATTAGTAGGAGACAGGAAAAATTAAGATCTGGATCAAAATTAGTGAAATTTGTAATTAAAAATAAGTAAAAGTATCAATGCAACAAAGAGTTGGTTCTTTGAAGAGATAAACCAGGATCTACTAGAAAATAAAATGAGGAGTAAAAAAGACTGTTTTTCAATATTACTGTATATCATCTCTTCCTTATCTGAGTGCTCACAAATCACCCAAAAATCTATTATAGAATTTTTCCCAGAATAAAAGGCAAGAATAACTTTGTATGAATTAGAAAAACCACCATATTTATTTATTTACTTAAGAAAGGAATAAAATGATCTTCCTTTCAGTCACAGAATAAGTGAAATCAATGTGAAATATACAGTATCTAATCTGAGTTTTATCTATAGATATAATTTAGGACAGGGTAAGCAAAAATAAAAGTTTAACCACACATATGAGGAAATCATAAAGTTAAGTTTAAAATATTATATCAAAGAATATCTTTAACTACAGAAGTATACTGGAGGAATTTAAAGGCAAAATCTCACATCTTCTGTTTACTTTCAAATAATTCAAACACACACACACACACACACACACACACACACACACACACACACACACAGAGTCTACATGTTGTACATGTGTAAGCATACATAGCAAAATGCTAACATTGCTTTATCTAAGTAGAGTAAAGGGTTTGCTATTCCTTCAACTTTATGGTTTAAATTTTCATAATAAAATACTGGCAGAAAACAAAACTCACAGTTTTTATATGGTCTTACATTATATGCTCTCCTGATCATGATATATGCCCATAAAAGGGATAGTCTGTCAACTAATTAATATACCAAATTATTTGAAATATAGGATGACATATGTTCGAAAGTGATCAAATCATATTGCTATGAAAATACCAAGCTCCATGTAGATTTTCTAAGCAGAATTTTGCTTTTAACAAAGCCTGGTTTTGGTTGGCCTCATAGACAAAGGAGTTATACTTTTGAAACTCTTGGTTATCCAGCTAATTGTTTTGCATAATGCTTTGGGACTATTTCTATAAACTAGACTCATTATATGAGTAATCGTAGCCACTAAGATCTGAATGTACAGGTTGTTGTTGCTACTCTTATGGCCAAAAGAGAAATCCTTGTCAGAAAGAATATAAAAGAGTAGGCAAAAATAATTCTCCCTTTAGGCTGAATTATATATAAGTTATATAAATATAACTTATGCTAAAAGCAAATAACATAAAAAATGTTTCTAGGCTGGGGATATAGCTCAGCTGGTAGAGTGCTGGCCTAAGATGCACAAGGCCATGGGTTCAATCCCCAGCACCATCACCAAAAAATAAAATGTCCCAGATGATCTATTTAAATTTAATGTGAGTTAAAATGTACTTACTTCATCAGACTTGAAGAGCAATAAAGCCCACAATGAAACTTAATTTTAAATTATTACAATCTCATAGAGCACACTGGCATGATCCAAATAATATGGGAAGGAAGTACCAGCAACTCAATTATTTAGGTCAGAATTATACATGTTGGCCTAAAATATTCATCTGTACATAATGTGTAGCGACAGTTACACATTCCACCTAACACTGTCCCACTGAGAAACCCTAATGAAAATATATTTGTTCAATTAAATCTGAAACCTTAACTATTCAGGATGAGATAAAAGAATGTTCTGATGTGGAAGCAAAAAACAGGACTTTGAACACTGAAACTAAACTAAATAAGCAACAAAGACCAGAAGAAGAACTGGGGCTGTAGCTCAGCGGCAAAGCGCTTACCTTCCATATGGGAGGCACTGGGTTTGATCCTCAGAAACACAGAAAAAAATA